TAAGAGTGTGTGTGTGTGTGTGTGTGTGTGTGTGTGTGTGTGTGTGTGTGTGTGTGTGTGTAAATGGGGGTCAGCGATAGCCAGTGATCTTGTTTCATAGCTATATAACACAAATAAAGAAATTATTTAGACCTTTCTGGCCCATGGCATTGGTGTTTGCAGATGTATGCAGCTACTGTGTTTCACTGTAGCGCCACTGTGTTGTGCATGGCTATCCATTTAGTCTTCTTTCATGACTGAATCTCAGAATCAAAGTACTCTGCCATGTTTTCTCAGTAGAAGATGCCCTCTGTCCCCATCTCTTGCTCTATGACTCCCCTGCAGGAGAGGCTGCAAGAGCAGAGGCTATTCTAGAGAGAGGAGTGATTTTCATAGGCTTTTATTTTGTCTTCAGTTGTCTGATGAGAAAATTGTCCACCATTTAGTTAAGGTGAAGGTGGTTCGAGGAAGGGGAAGGAAACTGAAGTATGTGGCCCTGTTGACTCAGGGATATAGAATGAGCACATACTCTAGGTTGCAAGTTCTCGGTTGTCTTGATATCAAACAGTAAGTTTTTACACTGTAAAAAACAGCCTCTGTGGTCAGCAAAAGCTGCTGTTGTTTGAATGATAGAACAGTGTTTATGAGCAGGTGATGTTCAAGATTTTCCAGAGGTATTTAGGTCCAGATTAAACTTGAGATCTCAATAAATGATATGTTTCTGCCCTAAAAGATACTTATACTTTCTGATAAAGACTAAAGGTAAAATTCAGGGTGGAGTCCTGGAGATGGCTCAGCAGGTACTTGTCACCAAGCCTGATGACCAGAATTCCATCCCCAGAACCCACATGGTGGTAGAAGACAACTTGTTATTGAAAGTTGTCCTCAAACCTTCACACATATGCTGTGGCATGTGTGCACCCTGCCATACACATACACACAATTTGTTGTTATTTTTTTTAAGCCATGTGTGGACAAGATAGCAGGACTGGAAATTTGAAGCTCCAGCCTGTGCTACATAGTGAGACCCCTTTTCAAAAAGAAGGGCTACTTATTGGTGTTACAGATTAAATCTATTCTATCATTGAATTTATGCCTCTTCCTCCCAATGAAGTTAATTTTAAACAACTGATCTAAAAATAATGTCCCCTGGATAAATACTGGGCTCCAGTATAAAGTTTCTCTTTGTTTATTAAATGAGTTAGGTTAAATATGAAAGTATCTGTCCCAGTTTCCGGTCTCTGCCCACATGAGTATTAGAAATACCAGTTTGACCCCATTCTATGCTTTGTGCTGAGCAGCACATGCTGGTATCCAGAGGTTGAGAGACTGCAGAATTTCATAAGCCAGACAGCAGTCATTCTGGAGGTTCAGGCCAAACCTATCTGGTACTGCTGCCTCAGTGAGGAAGGACTCTGAGACCAGGCATCCAGTGCAGGGTCACATGTCCTGCACTCTCCCTCACCTAATAACCAAAAATACCTTCTTTATGTTCAAGTTTTGGTGGATCATGTAGAGAGAAGTAAATTTTAGAAGTTGATGCTCTTGCTTTATTCAAGTGACAGTGATACAGATTTGATGTAATCGTGCCCTTTATTATTAAAGAAGTAACTTTCCAACTAAGGCATAATTTTAATTTCACCAATTTATTTAAAAGTTATTAGTGTATATTCATTGTATAGTGGGTTTCATCATGATATCACTAATGTATTTTGTGTTCTTCTAGCATATTCATACTCATATTACCTAGCCTCTTTCAAAAAAAAAAAAACCTCAAATATTTCCCATTATTCCTTATTAAGATTACAAAACAGATTGGGAAAGGTACAAAACTCAAAAAATGATAGAAATAGAAATTTGTTAGGCTAGTGTTCTTAGTCAGGGTGTCTCTATGAAAGCTACAGTAACAGCTGGCCATGTAGCTAGGTACAGCACTTACTTTGCCCTCCACATGGGATGGAGAAAGCAGAGATCCACTGGATGCTTTCAATTCTTCCTAAAGAACACTTGGGACACCACCACAGCACATCTATCCTGATTGGCCGTTCTCCCCCAGAGAGAGCTCCTTCGGCATCACCCGCAAGCTCCTGGTCCCTTCCGCAGTGGCTGCATGTGCTTGCCATTATCAGTGAATTCATCAAGAAACATAGTCCAAGCCACTTTGTTCTTTAAAACTGGAAAAGTTTGTTGGCTGTTGTAAAAAGCAAAAAAAGAAATGAAATGAGTACTTAACTACATAGCTGAAACATTGTTTTAATAGGCACTCAACATTAGGCTACTTTGCATGCCTTCACCTCCAGGATGTCTTCTGGTTCCCTGCATGTTGTACTCATAGCATATCTCAGCCCAGACTTGTTATTCTAGTGCTTAGTTGCTGTTACAGTGTAAGTATGGTATATCTAAAGGGGCAACTGGAGGTCAGCTACAGTAGCAAAGCAGAGGTCTGCACTTTAAGTATAAAGGTGATGGACCCTGAGGGGGATGTAAGCCTAGCGGGGAGCTAAATTTTGAATTTAGGAGATGCAGGAGTCTGGGTCTCAGACAAGAAGTGTGTTAGAAGCTTACTATTGTGGCCCAGGTAAGGAGTGACAAGAATCTGAACACAGACCAAAGCAAAGATATATGAGTCACTTAGCCAGAAAATCTTACAATTTGGTGGCAATCTGATTTGAAGAGAGGAACTGGAGTAATCTAAGATGGTTATTGGATTTCTACTGCTGTTGGTGAGCCAATAGTACTTACTGTTAACCAAAACGTAGGAGGGCAAATTAAAGAGTAGGTGAATTCAGTCAGTATGAGCTGCGTTGACTTTGAGGTACCTTTGAAGTAGACCAATAGGTTATGTTTGGTTTGACAAGGCTGGGTAGGAACCCATGTGAAACTGAAGGTGCCAATGACACTGTGAAGCAATAGCAAGAAGTTACAAAGCCTAAGAGGGCACAGTGGAGGGGAGAGAACATATTAGCATACACAGTCCACATTGTGAGCACAGCTTCCCTACTGAGCTGGATGGGATTAAGACTAAGATCAAAGCTGGCCTAATGCAGATTGCAGCCATGTTCTGTTTGGCTTGTGTGGCATTGGATCACATGCTGTTCTAAATTCAAGTTAGGTGCCAATACTTCTACACAAGATCCAGACTTCATATATCTTCTAAGTTTTAAAACAAAAAATTAAAAAACAAATAAATAAACAAAAAATAAAACAAACAAACAAACAAAAAAGGCTGGGAGAGAGGACCAACAATATGAGTAGTAACGGTTTTCTGGAATGTGTACCCTTTCTCTACATGCTTCTGCCTCTCTTTCTACAGGTTCAGTAGACATTTGAATTTTCTACATCAGAGCCAAGGATCAGTAGTTAATAAACATAAAAAGATAGATTAGTAACAGATTATGGAGAGCTTTAAATACCAGACAGAGTATAAAATGTAGTAACAAGCAACTTCTGGGTTGTTGAGATTAAAGTCCTATTTAAGAAAATTATTCTGAAGCAGTGTGAAAACAGAAGTTAGAAAAATTTCCATTTTAACTAGAAATTTTAATTATTTATTGTTATACGTATGGGTGGTTTTGCCTGCATGTATGTCTGTGCACTATATGCATGCCTACAGAGGCAAGGAGCGGGTGTGATCACCTGGGACTGGAGTTAGACTCAGCTGTGAGCTGCCACGTTGGTGCTGGAAACCAAACCCAAGTTCTCTGGAAGAGCAGGCAGTGCTCTTAACTACTAAGCCATCCCTCCATCCCCAATTACCAATTTTTAATGAAAAGAGATGAGATGTTGTAAAAATATACAACTAGGTTTTAAAAATGGAAAGCAGAAAAACAAAGTTAAATGGAAGTGTCTTAAGGAGGGATCTGCCATCTTAAAAAGTCCCCCACTACCACACTAGTTATTTGGGGTATTGAGCTTGGTGGAAAATTTGTTTGTAGTCTCCTAAAACTCCACTGGATGCTGCGGTCATTATGGGAAAGTCAAAGAAGCTGTGCTTGCTGGCTGTGTGACCCAGAGGTCACTGTAAACACTGTTTTCACTAGACTTTAAGTGGAGTAAAAGACCCTTATTCCTCCCACCCCCATCTTTTACTTCAACACAGCCCAGTGTTCAAAAGTTGTAAAAAGGATGGCCAACAATAGTATCTGATCATAACTGCATGCCAGACATTCTTCTAAGGGGGGGTGGCTGAACCTAGTGCTTCACATGCCTGGTAGGTGCTTTAGTCTGCCCTAACTCTTGAGTTTTCTACATAGACGTTTTACTTAATCCTTACAACCACCCTTGAGATAGTATCTATTTTATAGACAAACTGAGATCCTAAAAAATCATTCAGCCACAGGGTTGATAGGTTAGAAACAGTACTTGGATCTGGAGGTCTAAGAGATTTGACCACTGTAAACTGTTTGTGTATCTGTATCTGTTAGCATGCCACACAGGAACCTTACACTTTCATTCAGGAAGCTCTGGTAGAACGTATTTCAAGGGTATCAGTTTTGTTCTGTTCCCCCAGAAGATAAACCTCTAAAGATGACTTTTAGTCATCTTTCAGGGGCAGGTGGTATGCCAAGTCACTGTTCTTTTCTGATGAATGGCTCATTGTTAATGTGATCTGTATACTGAAAAAAATATAGGAATAATTTTTTAATTTGGTTTTCTGAGTCAAGGTCTTGCTGCATGATCTAGGCTTCCCTGAAATGTGCTATGTAGCCCAGGCTGTCCTTGCATTCTCTAACCTGCCCTAGTTCTTCGAGGGCTGGGAAAACAGGTGTGTGCCACCACCACTCAGAAAACTTATCCCTTTTATGTAAGCTAGATTAAGATAGATTTCTTATATGTTCTCCTAGAAAATTATTTCAGGAGGAGTTTTTAAATCTTTTCATTTTAATCTTGAAAGGGGGGTTGGAGTAGCAGTGTAGAGGGAAAAAAAAAAAAAACACATTTGATGTTTAATGGTGCCTGTCTCAAACTTTGTGAGGTTTCCCTACCATATTCAGTGTGGTTTCCTTTTTCTTGACTTGCAGATGAACTATGTAAAGGAAAGATTTCAAGATGAAAAGAACAAAGAGGTGCTTTTCATGTGCATTGGCATCACTTCTGGAGTTGGGCGCCTTCTCTTTGGCCGCATTACAGACTATGTGCCTGGAATGAAGAAGGTTTACCTGCAGGTACTCTTACACTCTCCTTTCCCTGTAGATGGAGGCTCACCTGCCGGTGCTCTCAGGCTCTCCTTTCCCTGTAGATGGAGGCTCACCTGCCGGTGCTCTCAGGCTCTCCCTTCCCTGTAGATGGAGGTTTACCTGCAGGTACTCACACCCTCCTTGCCCTGAAGGTACACACATTCACACTTTGCTCAACAGACTTAGTTCCTTGCTCCTGGTTGTGCACTTGCACTAAATGCTTCTATATGCATATATGCTTTAAAACTGTGAAATACTTTCTAGAACATAACCTTTGCAGACATGTTTTTAATACAAAATAATCAGTTACGAGGTTGAGTTTTAAATATTAGGGATTGACAGTCAGATAGCAATCTTTTCTGCTTTGTTAGGGAACTCCACTAAACCAGAATGTTTATGCCTGTTGTGTTTTCTCAGACATCTTTATTTTTTGGAAGAGTTATCAGTCAAGTGCAGATCTAATGTCATTTGCACTCTTTTGTGAAATTTGGGTGTAAGTTTCTAACTTTTGAGCTGCTTCATTGCCTTGTCTGCTAGGTGTTATGGAGCGTGCTTAAACAGATAATAATTAAATAATTAAACAGATAATAATTAAAGATTATTATTATTGATTATCAACAGGCAGTTGAGTATTTCATGCCAGAACTCTGCAGCTTGCTAGATAGTGAAGAGTTCAACACAGTCTGTGACCCTCAGTTAGTAGCTAAAGGTATTATGGGGACATGGATGATACCGTATTACGGCACAGTGAAATAACAGTTGTTTGGGGAAAACCGGAATCACTAGTGAGGGTCTAAAGAGTATAAAGAGACAGGAGCTAGTGGAGTGTCACTTAGTAACAGATAGCTTGCCTTACTTTAACAAGGCCCTGTTTTTTTCCCCCCCCACCACAAAAAACTAGTTGTTTTCTATAAATGGATAGGTGGATGGATGGGTGCAGAGAGACAGCTATAAGGAAGAAAGAGAAGAATGTCCTAAGTGAGGAAAACACATGGACCACATATGTGTGTATATGTATGCCTGGGACGCTGGATGTCTGAATGACATTAAGGAAGAATAGTAGACAATATAGCTGGAGGAAGGCCAGGTTAGGAAGAGACATTTATGGACATAAAAGATGGCGAATTCCCACACATCATGCTATATGCCTATAATCCTAGCACCATAGAAGCAAGAATATTAACACACGTTCAAGGCCAGCCTGCTCTACATGGCAGTCCCAACCTAGCTGGGATTACACAGAAACACCCCCTTTCAAAAAACACAACCAAATGAACATAAAGATGAAAGGGGGTGAGTTTTATTCTTCAGTCTACTTCAAGCCATTGAAGGTTTTAAACAAGGGACTGACATGAGCAGTGCTTTATAAAGATCAATCTGGTAACGGGAAGGAAAGAATGGAGTAAGAATGGGTGAGAGTTGAGGAAGTTACAGAAGGCCATATGCTGAGTGGTTCCATTGATCTAAAATTTACAATAGAACGATCATTAGGAAGGTAGATTTGTGGCTGTTGGGGATTGGGGGAAGGTGATGATTTCTTTCTGGGGTGGTGAAAAATGTTCTAAACTGAGAAAAGTGGTGGTCTAGTAATACACACAAGACAGGCAGTGTTATAGTATTCTTTAGAGAGAGTGCTAGGGTGAAGTGATGCTGGTTGGAAACTGCTGATGTAGTCTAGGCCAAGACATGGGGACCAAACAGTAAATCAGAGGCATAGAGAACAGGAGCCAGGTGGGGTCGTTTATGCCTGAGATCTGTTGCTTGGCTAATGGTGGAGATGGTTTCATTAGCTCATGAGATTAGTAATGCAATCCAAGAAGACAAACTCTATTTCTGCCACATTAGTGGTGCCTGTAAAACATCTAGGTTGAGCTTGGGTAAAGCATTGTGGGACTTGGAGATTCTTGGGCTGAAAGGAAGTGACCAGGTTGGTAGGAAACACCTGGGAACAGAGTGCTTCTGGACCAACAGTGGCCAGCAATATGAGGAGCCAGTGTAGTGACTAAAGTAAGGTCATTGATACCGATGCATAAATGGGAATGTAGACAACTCTATCCACAGGACGGTAGGGGGAAAGATTTGGAGATTAATCATGAAAGGGGTGAAACTTGGGAACGGAAACTATGTGGAACAGGTGTTTATTAGTGGCTGTAAGTAACAATGAGCACTTTGATGAGTCAGCTGGTGAACTGGGTGCTCCCTGTGTACCATCTCCAGTCCTGGCCCCCTCCCTTCAAAGAAGGTATAGTTCTTTCTTTGTTTCCACTTACAGACTGTGGGGTCCAGGCAGACAGTCACAGGCCAGAGCCTGTTACACAGCTAGAAGGAAGTGGAGTTACTGCAACTGGTGAGCTTCTCCTCCTCCCACCAGTGTTGGGAGTAAAATTGAGACTCTTGTTAATGTTTGTGTACTCCTTTATAACGTGTAGAGCCAAACTTGGCATAGTGGTATACTCCTTTAATCCCAGTACTCGGAAGGCAGAGGCAGGCAGATATCTGAGTTTGAGGCAAGCCTGGTCTACATAGTGAGTTCCAGGACATCCATGGCCACATAGAGAAACCCTGTCTTGAAAAAAAAATATGCAGGGCCTTCATAGTTCACCAAATAAAGCTGTGTGCCTGAAAAGCCTGATGAACTGAGTTTCATGCCCGGGATGTACGGAAAGGTAGAAGGAAAGAACTGTACTCTAAGTTGTCCTCTGGTCTCCCCATGTGTTCTCAGGCTTGTATACCCCACCCCCATCCCCAACACACACACACACACACACACAAAAACACACAACACACACACACACACACACACACACACACACACACACACAGTGACCACTGGGCATGGTAGCTCACACCTGTAATCCAGTACTTATAAGGTAGGGTTGCCACAAGCCACCTGGGATTCAGAGTAAAACCGTGTGTCAATACAACAATTGAAGTATTTATTTATTACATGATTCCATCCTTTATAATATCTCATTATAATAATGAGATATTATAATATATGTGATATATAATATCATTTAGTGAACTAGTTTTGTTTTCTAATGTCAAGGTGCCCTCTGCTGGCCATCTGTTGCATTGATGCCCTTCAGCTTTCAGGTTGTAAAAACAATTTTGAACGCTCTGCTGCATTAGTCCAGGTGGAATGACACAAACAGGATAGACAGGGTCCCTGAGTTCCTAGAGCAATTTGTAGCTGGGAAAATCAAGATGTGTCTGGACCAAGACAAGGAGGGGCCAGTTATCCAGGTCTTCAGTACCAAGGCATTTTCCTTTGTTGGAGAATGTTAGCATGGTTTTCATGACGTGTGTGTGTGTGTGTGTGTGTGTGTGTGTGTGTAGGATCAGTTACAGGGAAGGACATAAAAGTGTAGGAGAGGGAGGGCACCTGCTGTTTTAGACCTTACCTTGTTTTTTGGTTCTCTTCTGATTTTATTGGTTATGATGGTGGCTTGTTATTTTTGAGACAGCAACTTGCTATGTAGCCTTCAATTTACTATGAAGCTCAGGCTAGCCTCAAACTCACTATAGTCCTCCTGCCTCAGACTTCCTAGTACTTGGATTGCAGTTGTGAACCACCATGACTAATGTCTGAGTTTGTTCATCCAGATGTGGAGGTGTTTGTGATACTCAGTAGCACCTGCTAAGTGACAGAAGAGGTGATTATTTCAAAAAAGCCCCTGAAGAGTCAAGAACATACTTTGGTGTGTTCTGTGGCTGTCAGGGGCCACTAACTACACTCTATCCAGGGCTGGGGTTTTTAAGTTTGTGAAGGGTCTTCCTTCCCTAATTTAGGGTTGCTGGCTGATTGGCCCACAACTGTTGTATAAACATGTCCTGATCTGCCTTGTACTTGTTAAACCAGTCCATCAGCTGAGGGCTCTCCAGGGAGGAGTGGGAAAAAGACCACCAAGTCTTTGTTTTAAGATGCCAGGCTTTTATCTCAGGTCTGGGGGCTGAAGAAGAATCCAGCCATTTTGGAAGTTCAACACCTTCATTACCTAGATACGGTCCCTCTCGCATCTGTCTGCCTACCAGAGGATCTGTCTAACTTCTAGTCCCTCATATGGACATCATGTCCATATGTAGAGACAACTCCACATATGTGTGGACACAAATGCCCTGGTACTGTTGTCATTCTGGAGTGGTCATTCTGGACTACAGTATAGGCTGAGGGTGGAGGATTGAAGAGAACTGTAGTGTATTACTGTGGACATTTCTCCAGACCATGAATTGCCAGGGGAATGTATTCACAGGTTACAGAGATAATAAGAAAAAAATAGAGTGGTGTTCATGCCCTCTTCATGTGTAAACGTTGTCTTCTGTTGAAAAAGAGTAAACTCTCAGTGTTACTGAACTCTGTTTTCATCTTCTTACTACTAGCACTTTACATGGTGTGGACCTTACCAAATGTTTTCAGATAGTGTCCAAATACTTAACTATTCCCCAGCCTGTGAAGCACTATAGGCCCTGACTGCCTCAGAAGACGCCAGTCCTTTGGTCGTGTGGCATCATCATTCCACTTAGTTAGCGCAGGCTGCACAGGACTTAGCTGCTGTCTGCCCCAGGTGCCTGGAAGGGGTTGAGAAGCCTGGAAATGGTAAGTGAGTATATTAAGGGAAGCATTTAAATTTAACTGTGCCCAGTTGTATTTATGCCTCCAAAAATTCCTTATGCTTATTCAGGTGTAGCTTAGCTTCCCCCTTGGGTCCAATGTCTTGAGTAGGTTGGGCCTGTTTTTGTCTCCCCAGAACTGCTATGCTTCAAGAAAAGATTGTGTAATGGAAAATTATTTATCTTTCAAACTGGGTTCTGGTATTGACAGATCAATATGTGATCTTTGTGTCTAATACTTTTTTAAAAAAAAGCAAACAAACTTTCTTAAGTGTCTTTCAGCCATTTTAGATTTCTCTGTTGAGAATTCTCTATTTAGTTCTGCACTCTGCTTTTTAATTGCATTGTGTGGTGTTTTGGTGGCTAGCTTCTTGAGTTCATTGTATATTTTGGAAATCAGCCCTCTGTCAGATGTGGGAATGGTGAAGATCTTTTCCCACTCTGTGGGCTGCCATTTTGTGTTGTTGACTGTATTCTTTACTTTACAGAAGCTTCTCAGTTTCAGAAAGTCCCATTTATTAATTGTTGGTCTCAATGTCTGTGCTACTGGTGTTATGTTCAGGGAGAGGTCTCCTGTACCAATTTGTTCTAGGGTTCCATCTACCTTCTCTTCTAGGAGGCTCAGTGTGGCTGAATTTATGTTGATGTCTTTGATCCATTTGGACTTAAGTTTGGTGAATGGCGATAGATATGGATCTATCTGCAATCTTCTATATGTCTGAATCCAGTTATGCAAGCACCATTTGTTGAAGATGTTTTCTTTTTTCCATTGTATAACTTTAGCTGCTTTGTCAAAAATCAAGTGTTCGTAGGTGTGTGGGTTAATATCAGGGTTTTCAATTCGATTCCATTGGTCAACCTGTCTATTTTTGTGCCAATACCAAGCTGTTTTCAGGACTATGGCTCTATAATAGAGCTTGAAGTCAGGGATGGTGATGCCTCTGGAAGTTTGTTTATTGTACAGGATTATTTGGCTATCCTGGGTCTTTTGTTTTTCCATATGAAGTTGAGTACTGTTCTTTCAAGGTCTGTGAAGAATTGTGTTGGGATTTTGATGGGGATTGCATTGAATCTGTAGATTGCTTTTGGCAAGACTGCCATTTTTACTATGTTGATCCTACATATCCAAGAGCATGGGAGATCTTTCTATTTTCTGGTATCTTTAATTTCTTTCTTTAAAGACTCAAAGTTCTTGTGATATAGGTCTTTCGAGTGTTTGGTTAGCGTTACCCCAAGATATTTTATAGCATGACCTATTTGATCAGGTCAAGCACAAAAACACAAGATTTAATTAGGGGAGTTTGTTTGATTGCAAATGTTTCTAAGACTGCTTATCTCCTTTCAGAGTTATGCACAGGACAAAAATGTATCTGTAACCACGACTGGGAGGTTTCGTCTCTCCGAGCCCTTTACCTCTGCCTCCCCCTTCTTAAGTAGAGACTAGAGGTTTTATTAAGTCACTCTTCTGGAGATGGGAAGTCCAAGAGTGTAATGGCTTCTGGTGTCATTCCTCAGTGTGTCTTAATATAGCAGAGACATCACATGGTGACAGAGCATGGTTAACTTTTTGATTAAAAATAACTCCCTAACTCTTTGCCTGTTTGATACCTTTTAGACATCGAGATTTCCACATTTTGGTGATATTTCAGCCTTTTTGTCTCAAGCAGCAGAATGTCTTCTGCTTGTTCAGGATCCTAGAGGGCTAGAGCCTGGTTGTGTTGGCTGATTTTATGTCAACTTGATACAAGCTAGAGTCATTTAGGGAAGAGGACTCTCAATTGAGAGTATGCCCTCTACATTGGCCTATAGGCATATCTTTCAGGAATTTTATTGGTAAATGCTGTGGGAGGGTCCATCCCACTGTGGGCAGTGCCACTCCTGGGTGGGTGGTCCTGGGTTGTATAAGAAAGCAGGCTGAGCAAACCATGGGGAGCAAGCCAGTAAGCAGCTCCCTCCATGGCCTCTGCTTCAGCTCCTGCTCTGACTTGTATGATGGACTGCACTGTGGAAATGTAAGTTGCAATAAACCCTTTCCTGTCCAAGTTGCTTTTGGTCATGATGTTTTATCACACTAATAGAAACCCTAACTAAGACTGACCTAGTCTCCTCCTCCTTAATGCTGGTGCCTTCAAGCCCAATCATTACTCACTACCATGAAATTAATTACACTTGTGCTTTCATTGAAGTTGAGTCAGAGGGGAAAAAAAAAAGATTTTTCAATGTTTTAAAAATGGGAAAATGGAAGATTTTATTCTTTCAGAAAGTTAGTGTGGAGCTAGCAGTGGTGGTGCCCCATAGTCTCAGCCCTTTTCGCTGGAGGCAGGAAGACTATGTGTTCAAGGCCAGAATATCTATTCTCTGCCATTTTGGTACCCACTATACTTTAGATATACAATTATGAAGACTACATCCATCAAGACTACATAGTGGGACCTGCCACACTAGCCCTCCCCCCAAATTATAGTATGAAGTGCCAGATATTTTTCTCAGACAGCCATCTTATAATCTTAAACCAATCATAATTTTACTATAAAGTCCAATTTTAGTGTGGAAAAAATATACTCAGCTATATGATATAATGGTGTCAGAAAATAGCCAGCCTGTATTGTGACCATTTTCAAGCGCATTTCTTGCTGCTATGTCCATGGACAACTTATGCTAAAGCTGAAAGCTGCTGTTCCAAAGGTCAGGTTCAGGTGTCATTCTTCAGGAACTGTCTGTGTTTTTGAGACAGCTAACCCTTCTACCTGCTCAGCACACACCACCACCACACCAGTTCTTTTTATGTGGGTGCAGAGGGTCAGGCTTGTATGACATTTTGCCAACCGAGCTGTCTCTCAAGCCTGAAGACGTCTGTTCTCAAGTCCCACCCCCCTCTTGTGCACCCATGGAGCCCTTAGCTTGTGAGTAGATTCTCTGATACACGCTACCATGTTTGGTGTGATAGTTTATGTCAATCTGACATAAACTAGAGTTGCCTGGGAAGAAGGGACCTCAGTTGAGGTAATTGCCATCATCAGATTGGCCTGTTAATGATTGATGTGGGAGGCCCAGTCCACTGTGGGTGCTCCATACTAGGCCTGTGGGCTTGGACTGAATAAGTAGCTAAGCAAGCTAGAGGAGAGCAAGCCAGTAAGCAGCATAAGCTTCCTCAACTCTGGTCCTGCCTCCAGGTTCATTCTTGAATTCCTGCTTAGCTTCTCTTGGTATAGGAAACAAGGCCTGACTCATAACAAATAACTTACAACTAATAACAAATCAAGAGGAGTCTGGTGAAAATGAAGCATAGGGGCTGGAGAGATGGCTCAGAGGTTAAGAGCACTGACTGCTCTTCCAGAGGTCCTGAGTTCAATTCCCAGCAACCACATGGTGGCTCACAACCATCCATTATGAGATCTGGTGCCCTCTTCTGGTGTGCAGATATACATGGAAGCAGAGTGTTGTATGCATAATAAATAAATAAAAAATCTTAAAAAAAAAAAAGAAAGAAAGAAAGAAAAAAAAAAAAAGAAAATGAAGCATAGAGTCACCAGAAAGGGGCACCACAGAGAAAGGCAAAAGTGGTTGGTGGGCCGACTGGTATAAGACAGTATTTTAAAGTTCCTGACCTCGAGACTTTCCCATCAGCTGGTACTTTAGAGACCCACAATCTCACATTCTTCTAGCATAGCTCTTTCCCCAAATTCCCCATCCTATGGGGTCAGGACACAAAGCCTTAGCTAGGAAGATTTTGGGACTCAGCCACATACCAGACTACCCGAAGCTTCCCCGCTCTGAGCCTGCTAAGACGAGATGGCGATACCTAGGGGCAAGAAGGCCCAGTGCCTCCTGCCTTTCTGTAGCTCTCTGATGAACTTTAAAAGGCACTTCACACTGAAAATGGACCGGCATGATTTATTTTTCACATTGGTGTCACCTGGAGTGTAAGCTAAATGAACCCTTTCCTCCCCAGGTTGCTTTGTTCATGGTGTTTATCAAAGCAACAGAGAAGCGAATTAGGACAGTTGTTTCTGGAAGCATGTCAGGAGGGCCTAGAGAAATGAGAAGATCTGAGACAGCAATGCCCACGCTTCTGTTTGTTTTTGTCTGCTGTGTTGCCCGCTGTCACTGGAGGGCACCCCCGGCAGGAACGTCCTGTCCATTCTGAGCTGCTGCACATGCGGACCACGAGTTCTAGGCTAGCTCTGTCTGTGTGCCTTGAATGTGTTATTTAGCTTTTCCCAGCACCATTGTCTGCATATAAAGCAGGGATAGCTATGTACTTCCAGCGTTCTAAGCTCAGCAGTGGAGCAACCCACGTAAAGTGATGAGAGTGGTGCCTGGAGCTTGGTAAACTATGCTGTATGTTTAAACTTCCTTCTGATTACTCATTCAGTGTTTTCCAGGGCTGAAGACAACTTTCAGGAATTGTTTCTATCCTTTTAACATAGGGTCCTGGGCCTGGAACTTAGGTTCTCAGCTTTGGTGGCAAGAACCTGCACTCACTGACCTGTTTCTCTGTCTCTTTATTTTAGTTTTGAGACAGGCTCTCACTATATAGCCCAGGCTGGCCTTAAACTTGATTCTCCAGCCTATGTTTCCTGGAATTCTCAGTATACATACCCAACATACCCAGCCGCTTATCCAGCTTTCATCATTTCTTTAGAAGTTACTGATTCTTCTCTCCCCATTTTTGTACCCTTTCTATTTTACATATATAACTATGGCATCCTCTAAAATATTTCATTTATTCTTTGTATTTAAGTGTCCTTCTCTCTAGAACTTAAGAGGGAGAATCATGCCTTATTCATTGTGTAAATCTCTGTATAGCATAATACTTATTAAATGGCAGGCAAAATCTGGAGTTTGGTTGAATGAGCTACCCTAACCTTAAGCTGTTTGGTGGCTCAAAATAGATATTCTGAACCTTCATATATAAGTGCTTACATATAATCTGTAGTATTATAAAGTGTAATGGCTTCATTAAAAATAATCAGGGATTTGATGAGAAAATTTGGATTAACAGTATTGACCCAGGGGCAAGAGCTCTAAACCTAGTATCTAGACCAAATGTATATTTAAACATATATAAATTCTGACTCAAGAATGTGTAGGCTGGGAAGGAAAATTGCTGTATAAAATGGTTACATTCTTGTTCCCCAATGAAAACAGTAAGAAAATACAAGAGGCTCTCAGGGAAGTTGATTCTACGTGAACAAGAGGAAGGGGAGGGTAAGTGTCCTCAAAGCAGTGCTGACATGGAGTCCTCTGTCCTAGGTACTCTCCTTTTTCTTCATTGGTCTCATGTCCATGATGATTCCACTGTGCAGCACCTTCGGGGGGCTCATTGCTGTCTGCCTCATCATGGGTCTCTTCGACGGATGCTTCATTTCTATCATGGCTCCCATTGCCTTTGAACTAGTTGGTCCTCAGGATGCTTCCCAAGCAATTGGATTTCTACTTGGATTCATGTCTATACCCATGACTGTAGGTCCTCCAGTTGCAGGTAAATAAAGCAATTCTAAAGTGATTATACTAATTCACAGTATCTTCTACTTTGGGTCCTAAGCCTCACTTATTTGTGAAACATATTGAACATATTAATAGTCCTTGTGTGCTTTTTCTCTCCCATTTTTAATAAGACTATGTTGAAAGTAGGTTGAAAAAGTTTATTGGGGAGCATTCTGAAAGTGTGTGTGTGTGGGGGGGGGTTAAGTTCAGGACCTTGTACATGCTAAGCAATCACTTACCACTGAACTATATTCCTCACAAAATATTACTTGTTGGGGATTGGGGAGTGCTGGGCATTGAACTTGAGCATAGGATATACTAAATACATGCTCTTCCATTGAGCTATGCATTTAGCCTCTACATTTTCAGTTCTGTTAGTATATGTTATGCAAATGGAAACATAAAAATGAAGATTTTGATAGATTTCTAAGCGTATACTACTTTTATATAAGAAGCATACTCCTGAGAAATGGTTGAAGAAAAAATACATTTAGTGGGAAGAACATGGATGTCCATGAATATAAAAACAATGTGGCTGGGCATGGTGGCACATACCTGTAATTCCAGGAGGCTGAGGCAGGAGAGCTGCAAGTTCAAGACCAGCCTATCTACACAGTGAGTTCCAGCAGATCTGGGGCTATATAATGAGACTTGACTCCAATCAGTCAATAACCAAAAAGTAAACAAAACAAAAATATATTGTTCATGTAATGGACAGGGATATTATTCATCCATAAAAGTAATGAGATGGTGACACTGATACATGATAAGGACACTGATACATGACAGGGACACTGATCTATGATAAGGACACTGATACATGCTACCAGGTGATCAGATGTCACAAACATTATGCTAAGTGACCAAAGCCAAATATAAAAGGTCACATATTGTATGATTCCATTTGTATAAAATAGCTGACATCTCCATAGAGACAGAAAACAGATTAGTGGTCCCCAGAGCCTGGAGGGAAGGATTGGAGAGGGGCCATTCAAGTAGGGATGGAGTTTCTTTTTAGCATGATGAAATGTTTAGAAGTAAATATAGCCATATAATGGTCACAGAGCACTGTAAGTTCAACTAAGTGCCAGTCTACTGTTCACTTTTAAATGGTTACCTCTATATTAAGTGAATTCTACCTTTAGAAACCTTATAAATGATGGTGTGATGTCTTACTTGGACACTAGTGTGAGAAGATCAGTTTTCAATACAATTAGGATAAAATTTCAATTATATACAGTCACCTGTGTTTGATATAAGTAGCTCAATGAAATTTCAGCTTAATTAATTCTTACATCGGGAACCACATTGCTGGACCAGAATCAAGGATTCAGGGTTACCAGGGAGCAGATCAAACAGTTTAAGCTGGAATGGTGAGGATCCCTGTAGAAGCCTCCATTCCTTCCTCTCTTCTCAGGTGATACATTGTTCACTTAGTTTTGTTTGGGAGGTTCCAGATACACAGGCAATTGTAAAAAGCATTTTAGTGGGAACAGTGTTGCTTTAGTAGGAATGGCACCTGCTCACAGACCAAGAGTAAGTGGTGCAGTAGCCGGAAATTACTGGAGTGGGAAGAATAATACACAGAGCAACTGACAGAATTATCACCCCCCATTTCCTCAGGGGTTCAGAGGTCATTATTGTATTACAGTTAAGCCTGTTTGTTAGTATCCATGGGATGAAATGTGAGACATTTGGATTCTGAAGACAGGAATATTGCATATTTAGAGGTGCTGTGTATTTTATGTTTAGATCCAAAATAACTGTACATATTCATTTATATGTACATATGTTGCTATGGCACTGGAGACATCCTTAGCTATGCATTAAATGAACTTGGATAGATTTTCTTCAATTCAATATGTTCCCTGGATATTTTAGATAATCTGACATTGCACAGTAAGAGTTCAAACACACACAAAAAACAAAATAAAACAAAACAAACAAAACAAACAAAAACCTTTAGTCCTGGATTTTTGGAAATTTAGAAGTAAAATAATATTTTCCAGAAGCAGAGCCTAAGGATCATCAAATGCCAAACATAGACTTTAGGGCTTTCTGTTTATTTTGGGACAAGGTCTTTCCATGTAGCCTAGAACTCTCTGTGTAGTCTAGGCTGGCTTCAAACTCACAGATCCATATGCCTCTACCTTCCAAGTGCTGGGGTGAAGTCATATGCTGCTAGGCCTGGCCAAAGTATAAAGCATTTTTATACTTTCTTCCCAAGGATGGGCAAGCCTTAGTATCTTTCTCAAACATATTTAAAAATCTCTCTTTTGAGCCGAGAGATGGCTCAGTAGTTAAGAGCATGGACTGCCCTTTTCTCAGAACCCGCATGGTAGACAACTGTCTCTAACTCCAGATTCTTCCTTGCATGTCAGGCAGGCATTTAGAGCACAGACAAACATTTAGACAAAAACAATTTCTTTTTTCTGAGACAGGGTCTCTCTGTGTAGTCCTGGCTGCCTTAGGACTCACTCTGTAGACCAGGCTGGCCTCTCTCTGCCTTCTGAGTGCTGGGATTAAAGGTGTGCCACCACTAGTGAGTGGTACCCAGCAGACACGCACAAGCACACACACACTATTTATGAGTCTTTTTTTTTTCCTTTTTATCCCAATTCTTGGATTTATAACTTTTCATGTTATTGTATTACAGTTTAAAGTAGTTTCTTGTTAAAGTCAAATAAGATCAAATGAAGGTGTAGATACTTTAGAGATGATGGGTCCAGATGTTCCCACCCACCTTCAGCTGAGACAAGGGCCATTACCCTATGCATTTGCATATCCCAGGTGACCTCTGAGGGGCTTTGGGAATGCCAAAGCTTAGCTGCAAATACTTTCTGCATGTGATAATTTGGAATGACTTGTATTCTGTGGTACAATTTTAGATAGATTTATTTTTTCCTTCTTCATATCAGCAAAAGGTTTACATTTCAAATCTGTTATCTGAGCTGGGCCTCTCTCAGTGTGACTGAGCTGGGAGCCAAACTGGTTCTTTCCTTGTGACAGCTGCTTTCTCCCTTTCCAGGGTTACTTCACGACAAGCTGGGCTCCTATGATGTGGCCTTTTACCTTGCTGGAATCCCTCCCTTTATTGGCGGCGCTGTGCTTTGTTTAATCCCGTGGATCCATAGTAAGAAGCAGAGAGAGACCACTAAGAGCACTGGAGGGGAGAAGATGGAGAAGATGCTGGAGAACCAGAACTCTCTACTCTCAAGCTCCTCTGGGATCTTTAAAAAACAATCCGACTCTATTATTTAATGCGGTGCATATCTCCACCTGACTGTATTTGCTTTTGAAGTTTCCCTTTTATATGAATTGCAAATTTCTTATTTTTTTAATCATCCTTGGAATAGCACAAATGGATAATGGAACCTTTATTACTACCAGAACCATTTTCTCTCCCCAAATAGCTTTGGTATTTCCAGGAATCAGGGGGAAGAGACTGTTTGTTACAGGCAAACATATCTGGAAGTCAAACTTAAACATTCAAAGCTATCGCAGTAACAAGCAGCCGTGGAAGCCAAGGATTCTGTGCAGCTGGCACAGACACATACAGTGTACCGGAAGTATTTTGTTGGTTGCTCCATTTGGTGTTTTTAGTTTCAGTGTTTTAGTTTCTTCTGCATTTTGGAACTTTTTTGCAAAATTTAAGCCTGGGTCCTAGATAATAGCAGGCTAACATAAAACTCAAGTCTGTTGAATGATTTAAGCTATAAAATTGGGAGAGTCTGGCATGCTCCAGTATGAAGGGACCTGCTGGGAGCAGAGGCTCATAAATACCCAGGATGGAGATGAAGGCTCCTCTCATAGGCAGCCATCAGGCATTTCCTCCACTAACCTTTCTTCCCTTTGGTTTGTAGTGTGTTTTACTCCAATAGCCAGAAACACCCCAAATTCCTGATTTTGTGTAAACAATAAAGTAAAATAGAATGTATAAAAGATATCCTGGCAATTTTAACAGAATTTTCCTGACTTCTGGATTTATTAGCACTGTATTGTGTCTTGTTGGGCATGTTATCAGTTGGCATAATGGGCACAGACTGAAAGTAGTACAGAACTGTTTTTATCTATTGGAAAGATATCTGATAGAAATAATTGTTTAAATTGACTTGTGGAATTAATTTTTCTAAAAGGTTAAGTATACTCAGAAAAAGAAACAACTCCTAAATTTTTTAAAAAAAATTAGCAAACATTTGCATTTTTGTGTACAGTCATGTGCCAGTGACATGGCCACACTGAGAAGCCTGGTGGCTGGTGCTTTTATTGTCTAAATATGGCAGAGTTGACTTGCACAAACTAAAGAGATACCATTGTAATCAACTGATAGGATCTTGTTGACACAGTTCTTTGACTAGAAAATCAATGTGGTATTTATCTGCCATGTGCTCCTTATTAATCCCCCCCCATTTATGTCTACACTGTAGAAAGCAAGGTTTTAGCTCTGAGGACCTAAAATTAAAACCAAAGTCGGGCCATGACCCATTACTCATTTATAGAAACAGGAACACATTCCTATATCTATATTTTAGACCTTTAAGCGGTAAAATGTGAAGTGTATTTAAATCGTTGTCTTAGATGACTATTAAATCATAGTTGAATGCAGCTTGATTGTTCATGTGAAAAGAGTATATCTTTCCCTAAGCACTTCCAGGATCCTTCTAAGTTATCTGGAAGGTGAGAAACAATTTTACTGTCTCACTACTTGGCTTTCCCTCTTATGTTGTTTGAAAAGGCAGTCCTTCCTCTCTCCATCTAGCTGGGGATGGGGCTACCTGGAGAGAATACAAACTTGTACTTGGTGGGAAGAGAGGCCATCACCAGAAAGCTGGAAAATCCAATGACTTTTCCTCTTAATAGCAGCTTTCTCACCATCACTGTGTAAAATAACAGCTTACATGCTAAGTGTACAATTTATTTCATGGGGGTTTGAATAACTGTAATTTATTTATTATTTATTTATTATGTCATGGAGTCTAAGTAGATCGGACTGAACTTCAGCTCTATTCTGTTGCTTCAGACTTGTGCAGGGGTCACAGGAGTGTGTTGCCATGTTCGGCAATAATTTTGATTTTGAAGTTATAAGCTTACTGTGATATATATATATATACAGTTTTTTTTTTTTTTTTTTTTTTTTTTTTTTTTTTTTTTTTTTAGGCAGGGTTTCACTAAGGAGCCTAAGCTGTGTGGCCCAGGAGGAACTGAAACCCGAGGTCCTCCTGCTTCAGCTTCCTAAGTGGGGAATCACAGGTGTGTGCCGCTGTGCCCGGCTTCCACTTACAGCTACCAGTTGCTTTTTTGTTTTAAATTGAAGGGTCTTTGGCAATTTGTTTGCAAAAGGCTCTCTTTCAGGAGGAATATATATATGTTGGGTTTTTGAGACAAGGTTTATTTGTGTAGCCTTGGCTGTCCTGGCACTCACTATGTAACCAGATTGGCCTCAAACTCATAGAGATCTGCCTGTCTCTGCCTTCTGAGTGCTGGAATTACAGGTGTTCACCACCACTGCCTGGCTCAAGAGGAAAATATTTTAACCATATTGTCCTTTCTTGTTCTTTTCTTTCTTGTTTTAGATAAAGTTTTTACTATGTAGCCCTGGCTGGCCTGGAACTCACAAAGACCTGCCAGCTTTAGCCTCCTGGGTGCTGGGATTAAAGGGGTGCACCATCATGCCGGGCTATCTTTCATTAAGCATTTAGAAATACCTTAAGCATGATAATATAGTACATTACCAAGCCTTTCACCCATTCCTCCTCAGTTGCCTGAAATACTTTATCATTTTTAGGACTTTTAGAAGCTAAGGTGCTGGAGAGTTGGTTCACATTTAAGAGCATTTACTGATCTTAGCAAGGACCGGAGTTCAGTTCCCAGCAACCACATGCTGGCTCACAACTGCCTGTAACTCCACTTCCAGGAGATCTACTGATCTTTTCTGAGCTCCTGCACGCATGTGGTACACATACATACACTCAGGCATATGTATACACACAGTTAAAAAGAAATAGTTAAAAGTTAATAAAAAACATACAACTAAGGTAATTAAACCTGCCATTATAAAACATTAGGGCGGGATTTGTTGTTTTGGGGTTTTCAAAGAACAATTTTAGGGCCTTATGTAAGGGTGGTATTCTAACTAAGCTATATCCTCACCACAGGGGCTAATACAGACACCAATTTGCAGAAAGTGTAGCTCTAAAATGGAAAGCTGGCACTGTAAAAATTTGAAAAAAATGTTTGCCTTTCAGACTTGGTTGCTGTTTTGGTTTTGAAACAGGGTCTCACTATATAGATCAGGGTGGCCTGGAGCTTACTACCCTCCTGTCTGTCTCCTCTGTTGTTGTTGCTTGTTTGTTTTTTGTTTCGTTTTGTTTTAGTTTTTGTTTTTTGGAGACAATGTTTCTGTATGTAGCCCTGGCTGTCCTAGAACTCACTTTGTAGAGCAGGCTGGCCTCAAACTCATTGAGATCACCTGCCTGTGGCTCCCCCCTGCTGGGTTAGTGCTGTGTACTATCTCCTGGATTCGGTCTCCTTCAGTGTTGAGTTCAGGCACGTGGGGTTAACACAAGGGACAGAGGAGAGGTGCTTTCCCGAGTGGCACAGGGAACATGACATGGAGGTATACAAAATATTTTCACCAAGTTTAACAGAAGCATAGGTGTTACCTGGAAATCCCAACCTAATTTCTGATGTTTCTAATTATGTCTAATTATAGATGTCTTTCAGTTTCAGTGTGTTCTGGAAGAAGAGTGCCTTGACAGGACAGTCACAAAGCAGCTTGTACATGATAGGGACTCTCAGCACAAAGTAATGTCGAGAAGCCATGTCAGAGCTCAGAAACTACTGGAAACGATGATTATTCTGCAGTATGTAACATTTTCAGCGTATCAGTGACTCTAGACAACTTGCTAACTTACTTGTAAAGATGTATATATGCATGCATGTATTTGTAGAGGTACCCGCAGAGGCCAGAATGGGGCATCATATCCCTTGGTGTTGTGAGTAGCTCAATGTGGGTGGGGGATCTCAACTCCAGTCCTCTGGTAGAGCAGTGAATGCTATCTCCCCTTAGGTACAGGGTCTCCCTATGTAGTCCGGGATGCCCTAGAAAGAAATCACTGTGTAGACCAGGCTGGCCTCTAGATCGAGGTAATCTGTTTGCCTCTGCCTCCTCATGCTGGCATGTGCCACTATATCTAACTCTCTCAAGTCCCCTGTGGAATGTTTTACATGTGTGTGAACACATAAGACTTCCTAAGACCTACCCTGCTGGGTGAAGGTGACTTTCATGATATAGTCTGTATTGCAATGCTGTCTTAAGGACCTAGGATTTGTTATTATGTTATATTTTAACCCTCACAATGCACATAAGGACTATACCTGGTGCCTCTATTAAAAATTAGATGAAGGTTGCTATTAAACTTAATATTCCTTTTTAAATAGATTTTTAACTAAAAATATTATTATTATTATTATTATTATTATTATTATTATTATTATTAGGTATGTTTCTTTTGCCTGCATGTATGTTCCACATGTGTGCAGTGCTTGCAGAGGCCAGGAGAGGGCACTGTATCCTCCCAGAATTAGAGTTACAGGAGGTTGTGAACCACCCTGTGAGGGCTGGAAACAGACCTCAGGTCCTTTGCAACCATGTGGTCTTAACTGTTGAGCCACCTCTCCAGCTCCAAAATATATTTTTTCTTTCTAAATACATGTAAGACAATAAAAATATATCCAGCCAGCAAAACTATACACATATTTTGTACATACAGATGAGAAATTTTGCCTATGAAGCTATTACTGAGTTCAAATACATGGAAGTATCTGACTTTTGTTAACAATGATTCAAGTTTTATTTATTTACCAAAATAAGCCTTTGTAATGAACATGCCTCCCAAGAGAGTAACGTTAAAGAGAAATCCGCCATCAGTGTTAGCACAGAGCAAGCTGTTTGAAACCACTCATGAATTGGGGATATTGCCCAGTGGTAGGATGCTTGCCCTGCGTGCCAAAGCCCCAGACTCATGTCAAGAAGTAAAAATGAAAAGAAAAATAGTATACAGTAGCTTCCAATTGGATTTGATTAAGAAGATATTTTGAAGCTCTGAGCTTTTTAACTGTGTTTCAGCCTAAAGTCAGGTCTTTGAGTCATAGAAATTTGGATAATGAGCTACTTGCTCAGTTTTGTTTTGTAATTGGGAAAAAAAAAAAAACCTTCTCATTGAAAGTATCATTGTTTGGGGGCTGGAAAGATGAATCAG